TTTTAAATTATATTTTATTAAATTAAAATAATTACAATATATTTTTCTACTTTGAGAATGAACAATATAATTAAACTCAAAATTGACAATATTATAATACATTTTTGAACTGTTTTGGATTAATTTTTTTTCCTAATTTTTGATAAAGTTAATTTTAATATTTAAAAGTATTTAACATTTTGAATTCTGAAAGGTTTTCTCTAATAGAAAATTTAAAAACATAATATAAAAAAATAAATATAAGTTTTCAAGTTATTTTAATCTGATAAAAATAAGTTTTAATCGATTAAAACGCTTGCGTAGAAATTGTTTTAATCGATTGAAACTAGATTTAATCGATTAAAATAGTTATGATCGGTCATAATTGCATTCTGATCGATCATAATTGAAACCATATAATAGCGGTTCAACTGCTTAACCGCTATCTAAGTGAGTTTTTAAGAGCGGTTCCTGTGTAACCGCTTATCTAAATCAGCTTTCGCTTGAGCGACAACTTTCTCGCTCGAGCGAGACGTCCCTGCACAAAATTGGTACTCTCGGGTTGTATTTCGCTGAGCGAGTCTAGTCTCGCTCGAGCGATAATTGGTTCTGATCGATTATATTTTCGAAATGATCGATCATATTTGATAATTTTTTCAAATAATTAATTATAATCGATTAGTTTTCTAAATTATTGATTAGAATTGATTAGTTTTGCAAATAATAGATTAGAATTGATTAATTTCGAAATATATACTAAAAAATTATAATTAAAACTATAAATTAGTTAAGAATATTGACTATTGTAAAGATAAAGTAGAACATGGGAGGAGATGATGATGATAATATAATGATAGAACTTACAAAAATGTAGAATTGAGAAGTTTAAAAAAAATTTAAGAAAATAGAGATTTAATTATACTTTTAATAAATTTAAGATAATACTAGTTTTTAAACCTTTTTCTAATATTTGTTTTTAAAAATATAATATCATTTTTAATATTTTATAGATTTTATATTTATATATTTATAAAAGTAATTGGATTAAATTTATTATCCTCTCATATATTATTATACATTTAGCGTAATTTTAGTTTATTTAAAAATTAGAATACAAATATACTATACCAATATACCATTATATTATTTTCATTGTATATAAATTACAAAATTAATAATTTGTATACTATACTATACTAACATACTATTTGTATACTATACTAATAGTATAATATACTATATTATAATATTATTTGTATACAAAACTAATATCTTTATATATAAATATATAAATATGGAAAGATATAAATATATGTAAAAATATAAACATATAAATATATATAAATATGTAAAGATATAAACATGTATCTTTAATATTTTGTAAATGTAAATATAATTTATATATATTTTTAAATCTTTTTCTAATATTTATTTTTAAAAATATAATATTATTTTTAAAATTTAATATTTTTTTTTCAAATATATAAATATATAAAGATATAAATGTATAAGGATATAAATAAATATATAAATATATCAATATATATAAATATATATATATATATATATATATATATATATAAATATATAAATATATAAATATATCAATATATAAATATATATAAATATATATATATATATATATATATATATATATATATATATATACAAATATATCAATATTATCCCCTCATATATTAATATACATTATTAGCATAATTTTAATTTAATTAAAAATTAGAATACAAATATACTATACTATACTAATATACCATTATTTGTAGATTTTATATATTAAAATATATAAATATATTTTTATTTATAGATTTTATATTTATATATTTATACGGATATACATTTATTTGTATATAAATATAATTTATTTGTAAGTTATTATTAAAAGATCCTAGTAGCTCAGTGGTTGGAGTTTCAGCCTCCAACTCTAAGGTACTGGGTTCGAATCCTGACAATGACAATAAATTTAAACTTCTAAAAAATATAATCAAATTAAGAGATAGGGGAAATAAATATAAATAAAAACTTAAATAAGCAAAATATAATATAATTAAGAGATAGGGAAAATAAATAATAGATATAATAAAAGTGTAAATAAATAAAAAGAATTAAATTTGTTATTGATTAACTTTTTCATTGATTTAGTGATCGATTCAATGACCGATTTGGTTATATATAATCGGTCATCTGAATCGATCATCGATTCAGTCATTGAATCGGTCACTAAAATCAGTGACCAAGGAAATAGTGACCGATTCCAGGTTAGTCACTATTTCGGTCACTATTTTAATTAGTAACCGATTTTGCAGATTTAGTGACCGAATTTTCGATCACTATTTGATGTTTTTCTTGTAGTGAATGATCCACAGATTACAAATACGCATTCCATTCTCCACCCAACCCAACGGTGCAACGACTAGTTAGGATATAATTGATGATTTTTAGTTCAAATAATATATTATAAATAAATAATAAATAAATAAATAAAATTGTAAATATATAAATAAATGTATTAAATAATCATTAAATTTTAAAATTAAAATAATAAATTATATAAAAGTTACAAAATTAAAAAACAAATTAAAAAAAATTAAGAGTATAAAATTATAAATATATAAATAAATATATTAAATATTATTAAATTTAAAAAATAAAATTATAAATTATACTAAAGTTACAAGAAAGGAAAATATATGATCCCTCACCAGTCTCCTGAAGGTCTTTCCCTGCGACCCACCCCATTTTAACGACACCACCACAACGAAGCCTCACCTTTCACTGTCTGCATTTAAATTTCTTTTCCGTTCCAAGTAAAATGTTATTTACAAGTCTTTTCTCCTCTACCATGCGTAACTTCATTTTTTCTTTTTATAATATCTTCAAGCACAAGTAAATAACTTGATGATAAATTTTAGATACACTCTAATTGATATCCTATTAAATTTTTAACTTAACCCGCTTATATTCTATTTTAACTATGTCGCGTAACTCTTTTAAGAGATCTTCAATGACTTGTGCATTAAAAAACTTAACCAAAAGGGTTTCAGATCTTCAATTACTCCTGCATTAAATAACTTAACAACCTCAAGGATTTTCCACACACTGTTTTAGTTTTAAAAATTAAATAAATACATTGTTAGTTGAAAAAGGGCCTCATTGGAGGTGGAGAACTTTGCGGCACAAAATCTTTTTATTTGATAAATCACGTAGATATCATTCTTTGTATGATCCACCAAAATTAATTATAGGTAAGTAAAATTAATATTGACCGGGGAATATTTTTATTTTTATCTTGATTAAAATTATTTTATTAATGAAATTTACAAATTTTAACAAAGAGCTATCAAAATGGACACCTGGTCTTACCCTACGAATAAAGTAAACAAATATTTAATGACTCAACATGATATATATTTTAAAATAGGTCAAAAATTTTAGTCTAACCTACCTCTATGTTAAATTAATAGACTAATAAATCAATTTTGATATGATTGATTTTTTAAAAATTGTTAACATATCTATACAAAATCAATTAATTAAAAAAGTATTTAAATAAAATTAAAAATTAAAAATATAATTTAAAAATTTAAATTTTATCAATGAAATTAGTTTTTGCTTGAGATATAATGATTTAATATATAAATCAAAAGAAAATAATTTTAAAATAAGAATAAAAATTTACTCTTTATTATTATTATTATTATTATTTATTTTTAATAATTTATTAATTCAAAATAATAATTAATTTTAATCATTAGATATTGAAATAATTAATTATTATAGATTTATTATGATATAAGTGAATGTTTGTTAAATTAATTTATAATACATATATTTTTTTTAATAAAATAATTTTATTTAAAAATTTTATTATTATTATTATTCTATATATATATATATATATATATATATATATATATATATATATATATATATATATATATATATATATATATATATATATATATATATAAGACCAACCCATAAATTTAAGAATTAGTTTGATTTAAGTTCATGTCTAAATAGATTTAATCAAAATTATTCAATTTTAATATTATCTCTTCAAACAATTATGCATAAATGTAAAATAAAGGAAACATAGATAGATGGAGAAAAAGGTTAAATTGATCTTTTAACATACTCTTTCTTACACATATTTCGGTTGGGTTTTACTGGTATCATATTAAAAGAGTTTATCCGTATTTTTTCAATGAAACTTGCATAAAATTTATCCAACAATAAAGTAGTGTGTGAAATATGAAGAAGAAAGTTTAAAAATGGACTACCACGTCAAAAAAACTTGGCTAGCAAACGCAAGGAATTGATAAAGCGTGTATTTCAAGTCGTGACGAGAGCAACACGATTAAGTTTTCACACTTAAGATTTTATTGTGACTATTTTTTAAGATATTTTACGCAATTTTTGCCATCAATAGCGTATTCAAACATGCGCGTAGACGCTGCGATCAATACATACCGTTATTGACTTAATTGGCTAGCCACTTTCTTCTAATATCAGCCATATTCGCCATCTTTTAATTAATTGCCCTTGGAAATAGATCATTTCTGCAAAGCTTTAATACATAATGCCACTTGAAAGCGTGGTGCCGACAAAGGAATTTATTGTTACGGCCCAAGTATATAGTAGTATTAGTAGAACAAGTTTGATAGTAGTATTTTTCTTCAACAAATTCTCGTGTGGTGATTGAAGTCAACGAGCGTTAAACTTTCGTATGCTTTACCAAATGAGTGACGACACTGAAAAAGGGTTCGCAAGCATTATAATGGACTAAGGGAATTGGTCAACAAAAAATGTTTAGTTGGCAAATCATGTGAAGCTGGCTCTAGAGGGACAAAACAAAATGCCACTAGCGTAATAATAGTGCAAAAATATGGGTGTTTACGTACCCGTAGTTCTATAAATACAAAGGCTTTCCCCTCCTGAGAATGGCAGCATATACCACCTAGCAACGTGTTGAGTTGAACCCCATATCATCGTTTCTTTCGATGGCTAAATTGTTCAGAGCGTATTTCTTCAAGTCTCTTTTCTTCTTTTGGTACCGTTTTCTCTTTAGGCAACTAAGGAACCTCATTCGCTTCCACAGAACCATTAGCAATTCTCTTTCGGGTGCAACACAGTTTAAGCACCCCAAGTTCTCCTCTCTCCTTCACCGATCAGACCTCAACGACCACACCTTGGTCTTTGATGTCGAACATGCTTTGTTGAAATCCTCTTCTTTGTTCCCATATTTCATGCTTGTGGCCTTTGAGGCAGGGGGGCTCCTTAGGGCCATTGTCTTGGTTCTTCTATATCCTTTTGTTTGTGTAGTAGGAAACGAGATGGGGTTGAAGATAATGGTTATGACATGCTTCTTCGGGATCAAAGCGTCGAGCTTCAGAGTGGGAAGGTCCGTTCTGCCAAAATTCTTGTTGGAGGACGTTGGTGCAGAAATGTTTGAGACGCTCAAAAAAGGAGGGAAGAAAGTGGGTGTGAGCAATCTTCCACGAGTGATGGTGGAAAGCTTCTTGAGAGAGTATTTGGAGATTGATTTCGTTGTGGGTAGAGAGCTGAGAATGTGCTGTGGATACTACGTAGGTTTGATGGACGACACCAAAACTATGCATGCCTTGGAACTAGTCAAAGAAGGGAAAGGATGTTCTGACATGATCGGAATTACAAAGCTCAACAACATTCGGGACCATGAATTTTTCTCCCATTGCAAGGTTTGTCTCCCTTTTCCCCACCTTTTGAAGTTGCATATTGGGTATATAAGTTCTGAATTTCTGTGCATTGTTTCTATATTAAGTTAAGGAACCATGTACATTTTTTACTACATTACATAAATAGTATAAAGCTATTTATTGAGTACTATTTTTAACAAAAAAGTGCACAACAATTCATCTTCGCGACCTATTCACTCAACACAATCGTTAATAACGCAATCTTTAATATATTGTTCGAACATACTTTTTTATTCAGTCTTGCCAATGAGTGTTTATGTTTCAGGTTGAAATAAAAAATAAAAGAAAATGTTTTTATTCAAAAGTATATAAAAACGTATTAAAAAATCGTAAGAACATGCATTTGTTGCATCATAATAAAATATGTTATCCTTTTATTTCTTTTAATTATTATTCAAAAAAGTACTTTGTAGCATTTATAGTTCATAATTACAAGTTCATCTTCCAATTAATGAGTTTTGTCAATAATGCCATAATTTGTAGTCCTCTTGAGATAGTATAGCTTTATGGATATGCATTTTTAATTAATTAATGTGTGTGTGAGTATAGCAAACATAATGCCCTGGGGATTACGTTGGAGCATATATTTTAGATGAGAAATGTGATAGAAGGAGGGAAAGTTTGAAACTGACATGTTATTTGTCTATGTGAACAATAAATAGGAAGTGTACGGGGTGTCGGAAGCAGAGAAGAGACGCTGGCAAAAGCTAGGAAGGGAGAGATACCCCGTACCCCTTATATTTCATGATGGAAGATTAGCACTGAGACCAACTCCAATGGACTCCATAGCAATCATCATGTGGCTCCCCTATGGGATTATCCTCGCTGTTATTCGCACTTCCCTCGCCCTCTCACTCCCATTTAAAATCTCAACCCCCCTGTTGGTTATGAGTGGGCTACGTCTTACCACATCTGCATCTACACGCTCCCACCATATTAAAGAAAACGGCAACAATATTAATGCTCAGAATCTCTATGTCTGTAACCACAGAACCTTGCTAGACCCGCTCTATATCTCTTTCTCGCTACAAAAGAACCTAACCGCAGTCACCTACAGTCTAAGCAGGATGTCTGAGGTGTTGGCCCCAATCAAAACGGTGCGGTTAACGAGAAACCGCGCTGACGACGCCAAAATGATGAAACACTTGCTGGGTCAAGGGAACCTAGTGGTGTGTCCAGAGGGGACCACGTGTAGAGAACCCTATTTATTGAGGTTCAGCCCTTTATTCTCAGAGATGAGCGATGAAATTGTACCCGTGGCAGTTGACACCCACGTTAGCATGTTCCACGGAACCACCGCTGGAGGACTTAAGTGCTTGGACCCAGTCTTCTTTCTAATGAACCCCTCTCCGCTTTACACTGTTCAACTTCTGCAACATGTCTTCCCCTCACACTTTTCCCGCTCAACCACCTCTCATATTGACCAAGAGAATTCCAGATTTGAAGTGGCCAATCACGTCCAATCAAACATTGGGACCGCGTTGGGATTTAGCTGCACTAAACTCACTCGCAAGGATAAGTACTTGATGTTAGCCGGCAATGAAGGCATTGTTTTAAACCCTACGAGTGCCACCAAACACAATGATTAGTTACTGATATTTCAATCCATGCAGCTAGTGCGTACGTTACTCTTACTTTTTGTAAGTCGCCAACAACCCTTAGCTGTGACGAAAATGACCACTTATAAATATATATATATAAAAGATACAATGCTATGCTTGGGACCTCAGTAAAATTTAATTCGTCCTATTCCTTTCGATTCATTTGCTTTTCCTCTTTGTAATAATTCCTTGTGTTGTACAGAATCAATATTTATTTATTCTCACGTTATGTTTCTGCATTATCATCATCGTCCAATTAATGGATCCAGCTACCGCCTAATCCCTTCTGTTGTGTCATGTGGTGAGAGGATGCATTTCCTCGAACAAGATTTTACAGGCTCTTCACAGATCCGATCCCATTCATTCAATGCTTTTCCATTTTTCTCTTTCTCTACATGCCCTTTTCTTATCATGTTCCAGCTACAGTAGCTATATTAAAGTCAATATCAGGAGACAAACTTCCTTCCAAAAAGTAGCACTCGCTTTCCTGGAAATTTAAAATGCTTCAACATGTGATTTTACTGCTTCTTAATTTATAAATATTCATAACTTCCCTTGGGGATAATTGGAGAATGTGGCAAATACCACTGTTTTAATTCATCTAACTCTCCTTAATTGTCCACCCTTTAACATCTGAAACTGACCAAAGCATCAATATACTTCTGCTTAAAGACAATCTAAAGAGTCAACGTGTCATTCTCTTCTCTTATCATGTTTATGTTTTACTTTCTATTTCTTTTTTTCTTTTCAGAATTGTAGCAATTTCTTTCAATAACAAGCTAATTATAATAAAAATAGATATTTAAAAACCATATTTGAATTTTCTTGAGATAAGATTTGTTTTCAACAATTATAAGATGTTAGAGAAAGGACACTTTGCATTATGTAATTTGCACTACCATAAATAGTTTAGTTAGTGGATGGTTATAATAGTGATTAGATGAATACGATAAGTGGAATACGACGTAAACCAAAAAATAACCATATAATTTATTCTCACTAAATGTAATATTAATTTATTTGCAGTAAATTGTTAAATATAATAAACCAAACCATGAACGTATAGAATAATGCATATATATATATATATATATATATATATATTTAATATTTAAATTAATAAATTATCTATAATTTTTTATATTGTTCGGTTTAATCTCTTTTTAATTTCTCTATATTTATATTCATTTTCAGTATAAATTTATTCAGTGTACCATTATTTATTAATGATTAAATTTTACTTTGGTTATTTTCTTAATTTAATTTAAAATTAAATATGATTAAAGAGGATTGGGACGTAATTAAATATTAAACACAAATATAAATACAAATAGAAAATTTATGAAAGACTAAATTCATTTAAAAAAATAGATATCCACTTGATATTTATAATACTTAATTTTTTTCTTTAATAAAAATTATTATTATATTATACCAAAAACATTATATCCATTTGTCAAAAATTTTACTTTTAATCATTATGCTAATTATGCTGTATAACCCGCAAATACGAGAGAAGCCAAAATATACAATCCAAAAACCATCCCATTTTTTCGAAGAAAGTACCGTCAATAATATCCTGACCTAATCACGTCTTTCTTTTCAAAGATGAGTACTTTTTCTGACTATGTTAACTATTGTTTTCAAATATTTATTATCATTTTTTACTTTAATTTATATTTTATTTTAAATTTTTAAATTTCATTTAAGGTATTTGTTATTTTAAAATATTAATTATTCTTTTTCAGTAATATATGTATTTACTTGATGTCGCCAAAGTATTGATTAGTTGAACTTATAATACCATATTTTGTAAAAAAAAAAAAGCTATTTTAATTAAAAATACCATTTTATTGTTGGTCATGCACGAACTTTTGAAATAATAATTTTGTTAAGAATATTAATTTAAAGTAAATAGATTTATCAAAAATAATACTTTGCATTTTTTGATGTAACAGGACATTTTTAAATATTTTCTAGGTACTTAACCTCAGTTTTGAGGTTTGAGTTAGTTGTAAACCAATTTGATTTAGAATCATCTTTCCTTAATTAATTATTTAGAAGTATCTTCATTATCTATATGAATTAAATGTATGTATCTCCCTTTAATAAAAAGTATCTATATTTCTTAATACGGTTTTGCAAGCTTACATATAATTAATAATGAATAAATAGTTTTATCGAATGCACCATTTGAAGAATTATATTAGAAAAATATTAACCATTAATTGTAGTGATAGAGTAAAGTGAGTTGTTATTGCATACATTAAAGTCTTGAAGATAGTAGTAAATGAAACCAAACCACTTCACCCTATTTATTATACTGTGGTGTGAGTAGTTTGAAATATCTACCAAATGCTTCTCTCCTTCATAAACACTATATAATGTCAGAGATTTTTTTCTTCTTCTTCTTCTTTTTCCCTAAATAATAAATGCTGTGATATTAAAATGCTCAACCACACGCGCAAATAGTATAAGATAGAGAAGGGAGAAGAATGATGAATTAAACACATAATATTCTGAGTCCTTCAATTGGCCAGAGATAGATAGGTTCCGTAGAATATTTTAAGTCCAAAGGGTTAAAAAATATTAATTCTATGTAGTCCTCATGTTGTGGTCAAAGTAAACGTTGAAAAAAGTTAAGGAATTCACAGTTTCTTCTCACACAGTTCATCTGAATTTATTGTTTATATTATCTATTGCGACATCGAGTTCTAGGCTATGCAAATGCACATGTTCTTTGTGTTGCTATTACAGTTGTGCAAGAACTTTGATGTGAAAACGTGACATAGTTGCCACAGAGATCATGTATGAGAACAAGTTGCACCTTAACTTCTGCATCGTTGCTGATCTAGTACAAGAGTTTGTGCCTCTGAAAAAATAACCTTGGCGAACGGTTTTGAATGTGACTGCACTTATTAGCTCATAACTCAAGCCTTCAACACATTCAACATATGTGATTTCATGGTGAAGAGAAAATCGCAATGTACAATGTATCCATCTTATTACACGGACACACATGATTTTTTACTATGTAACTTACACTTCATATTATAAATTACTAATTTGTATTTATTTGCACTAAAAAAAATTATATTTAGTCATGGTAATATGATCCATTTGTTAGTTTAAAATATTCAATTAAACACGTTTTTTCTTAACAATTACTTTTTTATAGGATAATAATTATTTGACCATAGTTGTATCCAAAATAAATAAAAATAATAATAAAAAATATTATATAACATTATTATATTAATATAATGATTGTTAAATGAATATTTTTAAGCTGTGAATCAAATATTTGTCATGGTCCTTGTTTCCCCAACATTTAGTGATGTCTGGCAAATGACAATGCCCCATTATAGTGGGCTACAGTAGCACCTGGAGGACTCTGACCTAATATATATCAATGGGAAGAGGAATTGCATTAAAAATATTTATATCAAGAACAAATCTTAAAATCTATTTTTGGTTGGTCTCTCGTTTACATTATTATAGTTTTTATTTTAAAAAATTTAAATATAAAATAAAATCATATTAATTAAGAATAAGAAAGTTAAAAAATATAAAAAAAATAAGATATTAGATTAACAAATATCTATTTTTGCAAGTTATATTGATTAATTTTTGTAAAACTCATATTATATTCAACACATCTTAGTTTTTCATTTGAGATTTAATATGACAATTAAGTATTAATTTGAATTGTTCTTATATTTTCTTTTAAGGTTAAATACAGGTCATACATATTTTTGTGAAATTTGAATATTTTTAAAAAATTGATTCATTAATTATTAAATTAAAAAATGTGAATTTTATTTTTTAATCAATTTTGTGGCAGTAAAAAACTGTTCTAAATGTTAAATTTAGATATTAAAAAAAATCAACTTTTTAAATTTAGTCTTTCTATTCCAACTTTGAAATATTAAAATACATTATTGAATTTTAAATAATAAAAATTTATTGAAATCACATATTTTAAAAAATTAGAGATTTGAGTTAATTAATTTTGAATGAAAAGGAATAAATATGATAAATACATTTATATATATATATATATATATATATATATATATATAAATAAGTGGGAAAGTATTGACTTTCATTACACCTAATTTTGAATTTTATATTTACATAATGCGAAAAACTTAATAATTCGTTAGTATATATTTTTTAATTAATACTTTTATTTATGAAATTTTGATTGATTATGTTTTGTATTGAATTGTAACTAATTTGATTTCGTCGTGTCACCTAAAATTCAATACCAATGGTAAATACTAAATATTTACATATTAATAAATTGTAAAAAGAATAATATTTTGATAAAACTGTTAAATTTTTTCTAAAAATAAAAAATTGTATCTAACTTCGTTGTAATTACAAAATAATAATTTATTCTTTTTTATGTAATTACATTCTGATATATATATATATATATATATATATATATATATATATATATATATATATATATATATATATATATATATATATATAAGAATATTGACATAAAAGTTAGGGATTCATGCAATATTTGTTAGAAAAATTTGTCACGGATAATATATATATTAAATGGATATATGTGAATGTTAATAAAGAATATGTATATTTTAATTAGATACTTGTTAATAAAATGAATATATAAAAAATATTTATTTATAGGTAGAAATTTAGTTATGGATTTAAATTCGTAAATAAATTTTATATATATATATATATATATATATATATATATATATATATATATTCTTATTTATATAAGTCCTTATTATCTACATATTTTTTTTAGGTAAGAGGAAAATATTGACATACGGGTTTTATTATTAGGAAAGTGTGGTAGCATAAGGCGGAACAATTTTTAAAGGATATAATCTATAAATATGGATGATGTAAATGTAGATAATTCAATTTAATCCTTACATATAAATATTATTTATTGTAAATTTTTTATTAAAAATTAAAATAAAATATTGGCGTCTTAA